GAGGCCCCATCCCTGGAGATATTCAAGGAGAGGCTCAGCGAGGCCCTGGGCCACCTGGTCTAGTTGGGGGTGTCCCTGCTGACTGCGGGGGGTCGGACTAGATGGCCTTTGGAGGTCCCTTCAGGCCTGGGCAATTCTATGATTCTATGATTCTCCTCCCTTTTCCCCACCGCAGGACACTGCCCAAGACCTGCATGGAAAAGATCGTGGAGAACGTGCGGAAGTTCAACATCCAGGCGCTGCTGGTCATCGGGGGGTTCGAGGTGCGGGGGGAACCCTCGGCCCTGGTTCGGTGGGGGCCGGGGCTGGCCGTGGGCACCCTGGGCCACCCCTTTTGGGGTGAGGATCCGTCTCCCCAGCCCTTGGCTGTTGGCAGGCCTACGAGGGGGTGCTGCAGCTGGTGGAGGCCCGCGGGCAGTATGAGGAGCTCTGCATCATCATGTGCGTCATCCCCGCCACCATCAGCAACAACGTGCCCGGCACCGACTTCAGCCTGGGCTCGGACACAGCCGTCAACGCGGCCATGGAGGTGAGGGACAGGGCAGGAGGGAAGCCCGTGGGGCTGTCCCTGCTCCAGCCAGGTCCCGTGGTGGTTTGTGATGAACCAGCGTCCCATCCCGGGCAGCACAGATGGGTTGGGGGGGGTTACCTGCTGGGTGGGGGGGTCCCCTGCTCCCCCTCCCCTCCAAAGCCTGGGTTTGATGGTGCTGCGTCTCCCCCTCCCTTCCCCAAGACGAAGGATGTGCAGAAGGCCATGGATGAGAAGAGGTTTGAGGAGGCCATCCAGCTCCGCGGGAGGTGAGGAGCGGGGACAGGCGTGGGGGGAGACGTCCTTATGGGGACATGCTGGGGTGGGGGCTTCTCCCCAGCGTCCCCCTTGCACCCTGAGGTCCAGGCACACCTCGGGGCCACCACCACCTCCTCCTTGCAGGAGCTTTGAGAACAACTGGAACATCTACAAGCTGTTGGCGCACCAGAAGCCGGCGCAGGAGAAGGTGAGGAGGGACGGGGAGCGGCGGGGGACACCTTCCCCTGCCTTGGGGACACGCGGTGACGTGGTGGCCCTGTCCCCGTTCCCGCAGAGCCCCTTCAGCATGGCCATCCTGAACGTGGGTGCTCCGGCCGCCGGCATGAACGCTGCCGTCCGGTCGGCCGTGCGGATCGCCATCTGCCAGGGACACACCGTCTACGTGGTGAGCGACGGCTTCGAGGGCTTGTCCAAGGGGCAGGTAAGGGGGACGGCGGGTTTCCTTGGGGGGTTTTGGGCTTGGAGGGGGGTCCCCCAGCCCCAAAACTGAGCACCGGTGCTTGCAGGTCCGCGAGGTGGGCTGGCACGACGTGGCGGGCTGGCTGGGACGCGGAGGGTCCATGCTGGGCACCAAGAGGTAAGCGCCGCCCCAGGGGGGGACGGGGGATGTAAGGGAGGGGACACTCCTGTCCCTGGGGACTGTAGGGACCTCCCCGTCCTCACCCCGCGGGCCACAAGGATGATCAGGGGGATGGAGCACCTCTGCTACGAGGACAGGCTGAGGGAGCTGGGGTTGTTCAGGCTGGAGAAGAGGAGGCTCCGGGGAGACCTAATAGCAGCCTTCCAGTACCTGAAGGGAGCCTACAGGAAGGCTGGGGAGAGCCTGTTTAGAAAGGCCTGCAGTGACAGGACGAGGGGCAATGGCTTCAAGCTGGAGGGGAACAGATTTAGACTGGAGATTAGGAGAGGGTTCTTCACTGTGAGGGTGGTGGAGCACTGGAACAGGTTGCCCAGGGAGGTGGTAGAGGCCCCATCCCTGGAGATATTCAAGGAGAGGCTCGATGAGGCCCTGGGCAACCTGGTCTAGTTGGGGGTGTCCCTGCTGACTGCAGGGAGGTTGGACTAGATGACCTTTGGAGGTCCCTTCCGGCCTGGGCAATTCTATGATTCTATGATTCTCCTCCCTTTTCCCCACCGCAGGACACTGCCCAAGACCTGCATGGAAAAGATCGTGGAGAACGTGCGGAAGTTCAACATCCAGGCGCTGCTGGTCATCGGGGGGTTCGAGGTGCGGGGGGAACCCTCGGCCCTGGTTCGGTGGGGGCCGGGGCTGGCCGTGGGCACCCTGGGCCACCCCTTTTGGGGTGAGGATCCGTCTCCCCAGCCCTTGGCTGTTGGCAGGCCTACGAGGGGGTGCTGCAGCTGGTGGAGGCCCGCGGGCAGTATGAGGAGCTCTGCATCATCATGTGCGTCATCCCCGCCACCATCAGCAACAACGTGCCCGGCACCGACTTCAGCCTGGGCTCGGACACAGCCGTCAACGCGGCCATGGAGGTGAGGGACAGGGCAGGAGGGAAGCCCGTGGGGCTGTCCCTGCTCCAGCCAGGTCCCGTGGTGGTTTGTGATGAACCAGCGTCCCATCCCGGGCAGCACAGATGGGTTTTCCTGGTGTGACCACCCCACACACCCACACGCTTTTTCCTGGCACAGAGCTGTGACCGCATCAAGCAGTCGGCCTCGGGCACCAAGCGCCGCGTCTTCATCGTGGAGACGATGGGGGGCTACTGCGGGTACCTCTCCACCGTCACCGGCATCGCGGTGGGCGCCGACGCCGCCTACGTCTACGAAGATCCCTTCACCATCCACGACCTGAAGGTGAGCGGGGCAGGGGGCTGCTTTCTGGCTTGGGTAAAATAAGATGGAGAACCGGGATAGAGAGAAGGGGGCTCCAGCCAAGCCCCGTGAAGCCACCGGGTGACGTTAGTGGCTCTGGAGTTGGCACATGAGAGGACCTGGGATGGCTGCAGAGGACGTGGGACGCCGCTGCCATCCTGGTGTTCATCTTCCAGGCCAACGTGGAGCACTTGACCGACAAAATGAAGACGGATATCCAGAGAGGGCTGGTGCTGCGGTGAGTTGGGGGTTCCTGGGGACGCTCGCTGGAAAACCCAGCCCGGTGGCAGGGAGCTGAGCCCTTCCCGTGGCCGGAGAGGGTCCCTGGGCACAGCGAGGTTGGGCACAGACGTCCTGCCCAAGGGTGCCACACTCGGCCAGGGGGACAGTCCTGTGCTGGGTGCCTCTGCTGCCCTCCCCACCCCATCCCCAGGGAGAGCAAAACAGCAAAAAAAAAAGGTGTTCGGGGGAGCACGGAGGGACCTCCTGGGGACAGCAGCTTGAGGAGGAGCCCCCCAACCCCTTCCCTCTGCTCCCCCAGCAACGAGAAGTGCCACGAGCACTACACCACCGAGTTCCTCTACAACCTCTACTCCTCCGAGGGCAAAGGCATCTTCGACTGCAGGATTAATGTCCTGGGCCACCTCCAGCAGGTACGGGGGACAGGGCAACCTGGGCCACTGCTGTCCCCAAGAGCCGGGCGGGCTTGACATCACCATTTCTTTGTCCCCAGGGAGGAGCCCCCACCCCCTTTGACCGCAACTACGGGACCAAGCTGGGAGTGAAGGCGGTGCTGTGGATGTCGGAGAAGCTGCAGGAGGTCTACCGCAAGGGTGAGACGAGGGATGGGGTCCTGTGGGGTGGGAGGTGGCACTGGGCAGCAGGGTGGCCACGATCAGCTGTGTCCCCTTCCCAGGGCGTGTGTTTGCCAACTCGGGCGACTCCGCCTGCGTGATCGGGCTCAGGAAGAAGGTGGTGGCCTTCAGCCCCGTGACGGAGCTCAAGAAAGTCACCGATTTCGAGTAAGTCCCCACGCCCCAAGGGTTCACCAGGTCTCAGAGGACCTTCCCTGGTCACTTGAGAGCCGTGTCCCCCCCCCTCTTTGCAGGCACAGGCTGCCCCAGGAGCAGTGGTGGCTGAACCTGCGGCTGATGCTGAAGATGCTCGCCAACTACCAGATCAGCCTGACCGAGTACATCTCGGGGACAATGGAGCACGTCACCCGCCGCACCCTCAGCATCGAGAAGGGCTTCTAATCCCACCAGCCCAGAGCCGTAGCCCCCTCCTCCTCCGCGTCCTCTCCATCCCCACCTGCTGCTCGGGGAGCACGGGGTCCCTCCCCCCTGTTCTCAGTCACCCCACAGCTTTGCCACCCACCCCTTAAAGCAGGCAGAGCCTGGTCTCCCGGCTCCCAAAACTGCACAATCCTGCCCCGAATCGCTGGTCCAGGGTCTGGTCCCCCGTGCAGATGCAGCCAAGAGGGTGTTGCTAGAGCCCCCCCCTCCCTTAATCTTCCCTTAATGGTTTATTTCTATTATTTAATGATGGGGTATCCTGACTCCTTAATTAGCGGCTTGACCGCCTGAGCCAACTGCTGCTTTTAGTGTGGGAGGGGAGCCCAGGAGGATGCGGTGCCGTCCCGCAGCGGGTAGGGGCTGGTCCTGGGGGCTTTCATCTGCCCAGTGAGTCCCAGTAAAGCCCCGTTCGCCCAGTGGGGTGTCTGGAGGGCTCAGCGCAGAGCACGGGTCCTGGCGAGCTCCCTCTTCCCCGGCCACCCTGCATGGCGCTTGGCTGTGACCGTCACAACGCGGCCCCCCAGGGCTGTGCACGTCATCTCACCGCTGCTCTGTGACCCCCCCCTTACCCCCCAAAAACCTCGCACCCTTCGCGGCGCCGCTCTCCTCCTCTAGAGATAAAACCCACCTGGAGCCAAACCTGCCTCGATGGAGAGTGGTCATTGCGCGCCGAGCCCCCACGGGGAGAAATGGGGGGGACAGATCTTGGGGAGGGGTGGGATGGGGGGACGAGCAAAGAAGCCGGATGGTTCCCCGGAGCCGGATGGACGCCGGCACGGGATGTTTCCCCGCTCCCTGCATCCTCACAGCCTGGGAGAGCGGGGTGGCGGCGCCAGGGTCAGCATCGTCCCTCCGCGGGATGGGCTTTGGCAACGCCGGGGGGAAAAAAAATCCCTTCTCCCTTGTTTTGGTTCCCACCTTCAAAGCAAGAAGCCCTACAGAGGGACCTAGATAGATTGGATCACTGGGCCAAGATCAACGGCATGAGTTTCAACAAGGGCAAGTGCCAGGTCCTGCACTTGGGCCACACCAAC